ATTATTATTATTATTATTAAGGCAACTAATTTATTTATTTTTCTAGAAAGTAAATTCCAGATTGAAAATTATAGTAGGTTAGAAATCTTGATTCTCCTTTGATCTTAGAATAGGATTTTTATGTAATGCATGAATGAGCCAAAAGGCTCTTGAGTAAGGGGACAAGAGTCCACAGATAAGTTTGGCAAAAGCCATCTAATCAATTCTAATCACTGTTTAGGGATGGGATTGTGTACTTTGACTGTTTTAGGTTGCTGGTTTGATCCCGGCTTGAATGACTATTGACTATTTAACTTACTGATTGTTCTTAAGATAATGTTAAGGAAACTGCTTGAATGCTGTTTCAATATGCTAAGGAAATTGCTGTAGGAAGTATGTGGAAAAGAAAATGTTTACTAAGGACAAGCTGTTTGTTGGTGAATTGGCCTAGCTTTTTACAAATTACATTCTGGAATGTCACATTGTTAATTTACTGCTGTTACAAGTTTTACACTGCCCGTTTTTATGTCCTTCTTTGACGATTGAGTCAACTGATTTTTCTTGTGAAACTTCCTTGTCTTGTCAATAAAAAGAAAGGCTGAGTTTGGATCGAGGCCGCTGCTTCCCTGATGTGTGGCAGTCCCTCCAGGCCTCACTGACGGTTAATAACAATAATAACAATAAAGAAAGTAAAAGAAAAAAGAAACAACAATCACAGTAATACATTGAACTTTCAAAAGGAGAGAACAGAACGATGGTTATTACAGGTGGGAAAGGGGAGGGAGAAGGGGGATAGTGTTACACAGAGGAAAGTGTAACAGAAAATCACATTTGTTTAGTTAGCTCCACTCTAAATTTTAGAGAATGATTAATCAATTATCTGTTAAGAAACACTCTATTTTATTTACTCTATGTTTTGTGAGAATGGTTAGAACTCATACATGGACCGGAAAAACCAAGACAGAGATATCGAACCTGCCGTAGGATGGCTTCTTTATTTGCCAACTCATTTTCTAGCTTATCATTCATGTCATGTATGGAGGTAGATTCTCTCTGAGCACTGAGGTAACGCTTCTCAAGGGTCGTGATTCTTTCTTCCATATCTTCCTTCTGTGCCATGGCCTGTAATTGAAATTAAAAAATCAAATCAGATTCTCAGATAGTTTAATGGATTGCCTTGCTATTTAAATAAAATAATAATGCATAAAAACTATTGTTTTCTTGAAGTAAACATTTATTTCTTTCTTTTCATGGAAGAAATGCAAGGTTTCATGTGATTTTTCCCAACTTATCTGTCAGAATTCTTCTTACATCTTGGGTTAACCAAAAGCTTTCTGCTCTCTGAGAATGCCATGGCATACATTTCAAAACTGTCTACTGTAGAACTGGCCCTCTTAGAAAAGAAATGGCAGATAAATTAGCTCAGTAGAAGTAAGTACAATTATGGGTAGAGTTGCAAACCATATGACTGTTAAAATGGTGACTACAGTTCCAAATTGCAAAGGAATCTTCAAATAAGGGATAACAACTACAATTAGTATTTTTATCCTCACTCATAATGAAGAGTTAAAAGAGGAGGCCAAAAATAAACAGTATATTTGAGTCACATTCACATTGAATTTACCAAATGACTTGGAAACTTAACCACTTTTATAATAAACATTTCAGTTAAATAAGAGCTTAGAGAACTCAATGAATACATAACTATAGGAAAAAAATCAACTGTCAGTGCAAATGGAGAAAAATCATGACATTGATAATATTTTAAAGAGTAAATTTTTAAAGAATCTAATTTATAGATAATAATACAGAGATGGCTTTACCTTACTAACAGCTTAAATGGAAATTTGTTGGTAGGTAGAAAACCTTCTTTATTGAGAAGTTGGGAAAAGCCAACTGCACAAGTGAACCTCATGGGCCTGGTATAGTTTCCTGAGAATGTGGGAAGTTCCTTTGCATAAGGAGCCTGGAATTGAAGGGATGGTGGTAATTTCTATATATTACTATTCAGATTTATTTGATCACTCATTAGTAATCAGTTCCTTTATCACTTTCCTCCAGGGACCAGAGCCAGTCCTGTCACATTTACAAAGCAGATAATCTTTATTTCAACTTCTAAAAAGAAATAGAAGCCCTAAAATGGATGGCCTCTCCCTTATTATCATCTGGAAATTTAACTGCATGTGCACAAATCCTTAACTTCTAGCTTTAAATTTAGAGCAAATGTTCCACCTTCTCTCAAAGATTAATCAGTATCTGTGCTTTTTCTTATTTAGGGACCTTGATCACTGTTTTCACCTGAATTGTCAAGCTAATAGTAGAGGTAAATCTCACAACAACAGCTGAAACAGTGAAACAGGCTTACAAAGAAACTGGTATAGATCAGAGCAGAAAGGCAAAGGAAAACAGGATGATTCTAAGAAAATAAAAACAAGAATGATAAATTATTTTTAGTTTTACCATTGACCATAATTGCATTGAAAGAAATTTTACCAAACTTTTGGAAAGTCTGGGAAGATTAACCATAATTTAAAATATAAATAAGCAAATTAATATATCAGGTAATTAAAGAAATCCTAGAGACAAAAAATTGTACAACAAGAGGAAATATTACCATAGAAAACTATACTTGGACCAATTGTGAAAATTACTCATATGGTCATAATTGTGCTAACACTGAATGTGATTTTGAGATAACTAAAATGGAAGGATGGTAGAAGAGAAAGTAAAGGAAAGAGTAAGACAGCTGGAGTCCTCATCTAACATAATAGACTTAGATTAGGTTGAAATACGAGAGAAAATACCAGAAGTAATGGCTAAAAGGGTTGAAATTAAGAATATCAAGGAAATGGGATGGAAACTTGAGGCGAGAGGTGTGAGGGGCTGCGTGTGTGTGTTTGTGTTTATATGTATACCCTCTTAACATTATTTGACTTTGAAAAATTGTGTATATAAACATGAAAGATAAGTAAAAAGTAATATATCTACCATGGAACTCATCATGTTGTTCCCAGTCCTTCTGCCTACCCACAAATCTGCCCTTCCTCTTGTATTTTTTGACTGAAGGACACCACTCTCTGCACAAGTTTGGGATTTTTCTTGAAAACTCTTTTACCTTTACTCCCAATTAATAACCTAACCTGTCATCTTGCCATCGGTCTTTTTATCTCCTTACTTATTCTCCACCCTGCTGTCCAAGGGATAATTCTAAATGATGGTCTGATTATATTGCTTCTTGGCTTAAATACTTTTATTTCTTCACCTCCATCTTCAGTGTAAAATCAGAGATACAAAGCCTGGACTTTGTAAAGACAAAGAACCTCACACTTCCCTACTTAGGGGTACTGGGGTGAAAGTGTCCCCCCAGAATTCATGTCCGCCTTGACCTGTGAAAGTGATCTTATGTGCAAATAAGATTTTGTAGATATAATCAAGTTAAGATGAGTTACACAGGAGTAGAGTGGCCCTAAATCCAATGACTGGTGTTTTTATCAAGAGAAGGAGATCTGGGGACACAGAGACATACAGGAGAGGAGGAGGGAGGCAG